TATTTTTTACTAATAATAAGACCTTTTGACTCCATATTGTCTACCTTGAAGATAATGACTATTTGTGTGCTATTCCCACTCTGAGGTTATAAATGTCCTCTTTGCTATTGGGCCCACTAAAGCTCTGGGCCCAGTTGGGATCTGTGCTAAATTCTATCAGCAATGCTGGCCTTAGCTTGGAGGTGAGTTAATTACTTTTATTCAAAATAGTTTTGCTGACCCAGAGGAAATCCAATTCACTATTGCAACTGTGGTTTATGAGAAACTGTATCAATTCTTTGCAAAATTTCAGTTGAATTTGAGAGTAGACCTATTCATGGACCGGGCTCGGGCTTGGCTTTTGTCAAAATTCTAATGGGCCTCTCCCGAAGCCTGAGCCCGAGACAGTGTAAAATTGGGCCCGAAGCCCGACCGTGAACAGGTCTAGTTGAGAGGTTTGATTTAACTATGGTTGAACAATTGATTCTCAAAGAAGAAGAATGTGTTCCCCACTTGTCCCCACAAGTGAAGTCTGCCTAACCTGCCCAGGAACATTTTGCTTAGTGAGCTCAAAGTGCAAAGGAAACAAACTAAGGCACAAAGTAGGAAAGACTCTTAAGTTGGAATTTGTAAAGATTGATTGTATTGCACTATACAAAGGCTTTAGAAGACTACAATGCTTGATGTGTTTTGCAAATGAGGGATGCGGACCTATCTATAGTGGTTTCACCTCCTTAAATGTGAATTATGTACATGAAACATTATATGTACACTAATTTTTTCCTAAGTATGCCACTTACCACTTAAGCCACCTATGTTACCCTAAATGACACTTAAACCATTTAAGTAGGGTTGGCAATTTCCACCCTACCTAGGAATGACAATGTGTATGGTACCCGTGCAAATTGCCCAACCCATTCCTGAACCCGCCTATGTATCCTTGACCCCAAACCCATCTAACTTTTCCTCTCAATTTCCCAAACCGGTCTCGACCCGTCCCACCTGATTTGAAAGGTTAATTAACACTTTCTACTAAAAAGAGTTTATTTACGCTTAAAGCATGACTTGAACCCAAATTAGTTAATGATAAAGCCGAAACTCTTAACACTACTTTAAGCCACTAATCCATCTCGCCTTTTGTGTTGTTTAATGAAATAAAATAAGTTTTATTAATTTTTGTGTTCACCCAAACCAAACAATACATATGTATGATTAATAATTCCAACCAAAAATTAAAAGAAATAATGTTTAAAATTAGCATTTGATAAATAAATGGAATAAATAATCTATTAAATCCAAATTTATATAAAAAGATGATTTTAATCCCAAGAAATTCATACGAATAAAATATTAATAATAGAATAATTATCTTAGTACTTAAAATTTATAAATTTGTGCATGTTATATATCTTACAATTTTGATATATTTTTGTAATTATTAGTTAATATTTTAATTTATGTTAAATAACATTATATTTATCATTTACAAAAAAATATAAAAATGTTTACAAAATATTCAAGAATATAATATTATATTGAATCTATCAAATCCACTAATTTACATTTATATGAAAAAATGATTTTTAGTTTCGAAAAATTTATAGAAGTTCAAATTTTAATAATGAAATAATTATTTTAGTAATTAAAAATTATGAATTTGCATATGATATATATCTTATAAAATTTAACAGATTTGATATATTTTGAGTAAAAAATATATATTTTTATTAATTTTTAAATGATAATTTAATTTATATTTGAGAATTTAATATTTGGTTAGCATTTTTGTTAATGTTAAAAAGTAAAAATAATAAAATAGAAAATAATTGATATAATAATTAGGATAAATATAATAGGTTCATATGTTTTATGTCTTGGACTCCTAATTAATGTATTGTTTGATATCTATGCATCCCGCTATATTTAATTGTAATAAATATATTTTTTTATGTACACCAATATATATATATATATATCTTATATATTTATGCATTATTTATGGCTATTTGACCTTAAATTTAGTGTTATTAATGTATTTATGAAATTTGTACGTGTTTCTCTACCTGTTTCAAATAAAACTGGGTATCGGGTATCAGATAGCCTAAAGTCAAAACCCAAACCCGTCCCAAACCCTATAGGGTTTTTATCTAAAATCCCAAATCCGTCCCAAACCCTATAGGGTTTTGATATACGAGATCTATTAGGGTCGGGACGGGTCAGATACCCAAAAATTCTTGCGAAATTGCCATCCCTAACCTTACCTAGTGTGTACTCACCCCAATGGGGTTGATTTTTCTTTGTTTGTTTGAAAAATAGATTTTTGGGTGGGGACGGGTATGGTATTAGGGACCTTCTCTAACCTATACATTTTTGTTGTAAGGCATATGAACTTATGTATTATGTGTTGAATTTAATAATGTTTTGAATTTTATGTGAAAGATAATTGATGGTTTATGCGTTTTCAACATGTTTCAATCAAATAATTGGAAATTTTGATGTTCATGTTATTTTGCTTGTTTATTGCTTATATATAACAGTAAATTAGGTGTGGGTTCTGGACCCAACCCGCTCCACTCTCAAATGTGGGGAGGGTTTGGATTCTGAAAGTCCAACCTGCTGCAGGTTTTGGGGAGGGTCCATGTTGGGAGGTTTGGGGAGGCCGGGATGGTCTCCTTGAACTTACCTCATTGTGGCACCTACTCCCCTGTTTTGGTGACACTTCATTCTTTAAATTACACCTAATCGCCTTGAAGTGACACCTCTGAGCTCATGTTCCACCTCAAGCTATGGTGAGGTGTTGTAATGAAATAATCTTTATGTTATTTACCTAATTGCCACCACTGTCCTTAATGTGGATTTGTCTTTTTGTGTCCCTTGGGTTTTGTCCTTTAGCGTCTCATGAAGTAAGGCCCACTAATGGTCTTCAAGTGCAATTTTTGACACTATGCTGCCATGTTGTTTGGTGACACTTCATTCTTTAAATTACACCTAATTGCCTTAAAGTGACACCTCTGAGCTCATGTTCCACCTCATGCTATGGTGAGGTGTTGTAATGAAATAATCTTTATTTTATTTACACAATTGCCACCATTGTCCTTAATGTGGATTTGTCTTTTTGTGTCCCTTGGGTTTTTGTCCTTTAGCGTCCCATGAAGTAAGGCCCACTAATGGTCAAGTGCAATTTTTGACACTATGCTGCCATGTTGTTTGGTCTCTATTGCTCATCAAGCTCATCAGCACCTTTGAGTTTCTCTCTATTATTAGCTTATTAATGTTCATCATTCTGCTAAATCTCAATTCATGCAAGAGCGCACTTATCTCTGCATTTATTGAATTGCCATGCCCCGCTGGTTCTGAGTAAACTGCGAGTATGTTGCTGTTTTCATCTTTAAATAAATAGACCCCCTATGTCTGAAGGCTCTGGGTTCCCTAGCGAACATCCATCAAAATTTAATTTTACAAATTTATTTGTGCTTGGGCTCCTTTGCATCTGAATCGCCCTCTTCACCCTTGAAGCTTTTTTCCCTTTTTTGATCAATACTTCACTCTCCACCCTTGGTATTGGTCTATTGAAAACGGGTCATGCTTTAGCCATATTAACTGTTTTCTTCGCCTGAGTGTTTTTGCAGAACCAGTTTTGATATAAATACAGTTTTGCATTAATTTTCAGCATGCAACTGGTTAAAAGCCTCCATCACTATTGTTTCTCTCTTATTTTCTACAAAAACTGAGAAGAAAGCTTCTAATCCAAAAAGCAGAAGATAGAAAGGACAGTGTAACATGACGCTGACACTGATTACAATTGAATCGGCAATTTCTCTTTCTAGTACAAATAATAAAAGCAAAGAACTTTTGATGATTTATTTCCTTTGGAAAAGTAAAACAAACCTAAAGTTACTGGTCTCTTCTCTACTGTGAAATGATATGATCTTCTCTGCAAAACTAAGAACACCTAAATGGGGGTTTCTGCAGAATTATGAGCACACACATTCAGATATCAAATCAAACTTTTGATTTCCTTGTTATGAAATAAGAAGTCTACTTTTTATGCAAAATTAAGAACAACCGAATTTAAGAACACATTTTAATGCCAATTCCTAGGAACCCAAAACTCCAATTTGCAAAGAGAGACAGGGAGTGGGAGAAGAGCATATTTTTGATTCTAATGGCGTTGAGGTTGTGTGCTTCAAGGGCTGCTGCTAACCTCAGAGGCTCTATGTCACAGAAGCCTGCTATGAATGATTTGAAGTATTCTGACTCCCATGAGTGGGTCAAAGATGGTGGCACTTCAGCTACAATAGGAATAACGACCATGTTCAACACCATTTAGGTGATGTTGTATATGTTGAATTGCCTGAGGTTACGTCCTTTGTAAGACAAGGAAATAGTTTTGGTACAGTTGAGAGTGTCAAGGCAACCGATGAAGTGTTTCCCCACGTTAAAGCAGTTGGTCTGGGACTGGGACACCTTGTCCTGATCCATTGACTGCCCTACCTGGCGTGAGCACTCATTGCTGGGAACACCAGATCTGTCTCCTCTGAAACAAATGTTTCAGAATACTACTTCAAGTGTTGGAAGACAAAAAGACTCCCTTTGGAAGACAAAACATCTCTATGTTTGAGAAAAGGTGCTGCCCATGGAGGCCAACAATCATGGTTGCACAGCACTCATAGAGGCTAACCAGTATGGTGGGCTCCCATTTTGGTGCCTGCTTACATGAATCGGTTGTTTTTTTCTTCAAATGATGAAAAATGAGAAAATTTAGAAGGGAGGAGGAAGGATGGGGGTTGGTGCTGAGGTGTCCATCATTGTTTTAGTATGTAGAATTGTAGATACGGAAGATTGTTTATGAATGGTCAATGGTATACTTTCATTGGTTTGCCTAAACATAAATCTATCCTTTTATGCCATCTGCACTATGTTCTAATTAGATATCACAGAAATAAATACAGCAGTTTGTTTTTTAATATTATTGAATATGCCAGTTTTGTGATGTCTTATTGTCTGATTTCTTGCTGCAGGAAGGTCCTCGAACAATGGTTGGTATCGCAACATTTGACTCAACGATCCATTTTTACAATCTCAAGCGTGCATTGCAACAAGTAAATACTTGATTCAATCTTCTTGCTAAACCATACTTTCAGTTTTTTTTTTCTTTTTTTCTTTTTTCTTTTTTCTGATCAGTTATATGCAATTTTATAAACAATACAATACAGGAGAAGGTGCCAAGCACATCAAGTCCCCAGATGCTATTATTGAGCTTCCCCAAAACTTATGTGTACATTTTTTTTTACAGTACAAGTTTCCCACCATGCCCCACAGAATAGTTGCTCTTTATCAACCTCTTGTTTTGCCATTGAATGAGTTAAACCATTGGCTGATCTAATATCCAGCTGAACTGAATCTCCACATCCATTATTAATTCCTTGATCTCCCTTATTGTGTTCCAGTGAGGCCTTGGTACTTGTTTTCTTTCTCAGCCACTGTAAGATAACTTGAACCCCCTTCTACTATGACGTTTGTGAAACTACTGCTTTACCAATCCTATCCCTTGTAATGCTTCTAGTTGTTGAATTTCCATGACTTGGTCCTGAATATAGTGCAACAAAATGTCCCTAATAATTTCCCTAATATTTCCATTTCCATGGGTAGTGACACAAAATTTTACCGGAATTGACATATTCCCCAATGAACACTACCAGTACTATGTGGAGTACAAGAAATAGTTTCCATAACATGTTTCCATTTCCACTTCTATGGATAGCGACATGATATTTTACTGGAATTGGCATTTCCACTTCCACTCCTAAATAATAACTTCACTTGGTCTAACCTTCAATCTAGGCCAATATGCTCTAAGCTGGACAAATTTTTGTTCTCAACAGATTGGGAGGAACACTGGGGTAATTTAACATCTAGGGCACTTCCAAGACTTACTTCAGACCATTAGTCCATATTGATGAGTAAGGAGGAATTGAGAGGTCATGGACCTATCCCTTCAGGTTTGAAAATATGTGGTCGACTCATCCAGGTTTCATTGAGAAGATCAGAGAGTGGTGGGAGCAATCTAATCCGGTAGCAAAATGGGAGGGAATGAGGTTCCGCAAGAAACTTCAATTCCTAAAATCACAAATAAAGGAGTGGAATAGGCTGGAGTTTGGAAGAATAGATGAGGGAAAACAAGTATTGCTGGAGCAGATTGAGGAATTGGATATGAAGGAAGAGAGGGGATCCTTTGGAGAGGAAGAAAGGAGGATGAGATGGGATCTGAGGAGGCAGATGGAGGCTATCCTGGTTAAGGAGTAAATTAGTTGGAGGCAAAAATTCAGGTGTAAGTGGCTAAAGGAGGGAGATAGAAACACCAGATTTTTTCATTCAGTGGCAAATGGGAGGAGAAAAAAGAATTTCATATCTAAATTGGAAGTTGAAGGTTGTCCCACCCGGTAGAAATAGTAGAGGCCTTAGTAAACCATTTTAAATCTGTTTTTAGAAGGCCTCTGAATAAGATGGTGTGGTTGGAGGGATTGGAATGGCCGACTCTAAGTGTAGAGAAAAGAGAGTGGTTAGAAAAGAGTTTTGATCTAGAGGAGATAAAGGAAGCAATATTCTCAATGGATAGGACAAAAGCTCTGGGTCCAGATGGTTTCACAATGGCTTTCTATCAGGATTGCTAGGATATTGTGGAGAATGATCTTAGGTCAGTTTTCAAGGAGTTTCATAGAAGGGGAATAATTAATCCGGGTTTGAACTCAACTTTCATTGCTTTGGTCCCAAAGAAGAAAGAGGATTCACAACCAAAGGATTTTAGACCTATCAGTTTGGGGAATAGCTTGTATAAAATTATTGCAAAAGTGTTGTCTCTCAGGATAAAGAAGGTACTTTCCACTATTATTGCACCCAATCAAGGAGCTTTTGTGGAGGGAAGACAGATCACTAATCAAATCCTCATTGCAAATGAGAGTTTGGAGAGCCTTAGGAAGTCGAAGAAGAAGGGAGTGGTATGCAAACTGGATCTGGAGAAGGCTTATGACCTAGTTGATTGGTCCTTCCTGTTGGAGGTGTTGAGAAGTTTTGGCTTTGGAGACAGGTGGTGTAAATGGATATGGGGTTGTATCAGGACTTGTCACTATTCTATCTTGGTGAATGGAACTGTGGTTGACTTTTTTCCTGCTTTGAGAGGTATAAGACAAGGAGACCCACTCTCCCCCTTTCTTTTCACCCTGATTGCCGATGTACTAGGGAGATTGATCCATAGAGCAGACTCGAGGAATTTGATAAAAGGGTGGTGAGTAGGAAGGGAGGAGGTTTTTCTGACACATCTACAGTTTGCAGATGGCACAATTTTGTTTTGTGAAGGAGGGGACATAAATTGGATCCGGAATTTAAAATTGGCAATACAACTCTTTGAGTAGATATCTAACCTCAAGGTGAACTTTGATAAGAGTTGTGTGGTGGGAGTGAATGTGGAGGAAAGGGAATATGTAGGTGAGTTAGGTTGTGCAATCTCGAAATGGCCCCTGACATACTTGGGCCTCCCTTTAGGAGATAATCCTAAGTATGTAAGCTTCTGGAATCTGGTAGTGGAGAGATTTGAGAAGAGGCTTTCATCTTGGAAGAGAAACTATCTTTCCTTAGGCAGGAGAGTCACTCTGATTATGTCTACCCTAGCTAACCTACCTATCTACTATCTGCTAGTGTTTAAGATCCCCTCTAAGGTCTCCAATTTCTTGAAAAAATTAATAAGGAATTTTCTATGGGATGGAGAGGAGAAGAGAGATCATAGGGTGAGTTGGGAGGTGGTAACTAGGTGTAAAAAACTAGGAGGCCTTGGGATTAGAAACATCAAGAAAAGGAATATGGCCTTGCTGGGAAAATGGTTGTTGAGGTTTACAATTGAAAGGGATAAATTGTGGACTAAATTCTGGCTAGCATACATGGGTTGGAAGACAATGGCTGTGATCCTGGAATTGTGGCAAGGGCTACAACTGCTTCTCCTTGAAAATTCATTCACAATTTTCTTCCAGTTTTTTCCCCTTAGATCAGGTATGGTCTAAACTCTGGTAACCCAATAAAATTCTGGGAACAACTTTGGGTTGGGGATTCACCTCTGAAGGACTAGTTTTCCTTCCTGTACTCTCTGTCAGACTTGAAAAATGAACATATCTCTTCTTTCTTGGGTCCTTCAGACTCCACTTTTGGTTTTGGGTGGAACCTAGGCCTGCGAGGGGCAATTAGGGATACAGACCCGGACAACATTTTACCTTTGCTAGCCATCCTTGAGAATGTTTTCCTAGATCCTAATAAGGAAGACACTAGAATTTGGACCCCATCCACCTCAGGTACTTTCTCTTGTGCTTCGTTTTTTGAAACCTTAACCTAACCTTTTGTCCCTCTTGGGTTGTCCTTTCCGGATAAGGAAATTTGGAGCAAGCTTATTCCTCCTCGGGTTGGTATTTTTTGTTGGGAAATTTTCCTGGAAAGAATAAACACAATTGACTTACTTCAGAGAAAGAGACCCAACTATTGTCTACTTCCCAATAGATGCCCATTTTGTAAAGCTGATGGGGAATCCTGTTACCACCTCATGGTCTCTTGTAAGGTTACTAAAACTGTATGGGAGTGGATCTTTTCCCGCTTTGGGTGTTCTTGGAATCCTCCCGAGAGTGTCCAAAGTTTGTTCTCCCCTTCGTTTTGGGTGTTCTCTCCCGAGGGAAGATTATGTGGAGTATTAGGGTAGCCATGTGTTGGTCCCTGTGGGAAGAGAGAAATTCACGAATTTTTTCAGACAAGGAAAGAACCCTGGAAGAATTGTTAGACCTAATATTTTCAAGGGCTGTCCACTGGCTAAAATCTTTAGAATTGTTTTTAGAATTTCCTGTGGATGATTTGTTAAGAAATTGGAAAGAGGTAGCTACTTCTACTCGGTGCAAGAGGACTCTTAGTCCCTCTTGGTCCCCTCCTCCCTCTGGATTTATAAAATTGAATTTTGATGGCAGTAGTTTAAGGAATCCAGGGCCCTCTGGGATTGGGGGAGTATTCGGGAATGAGGAAGGGATTGTTATTGCTTTGTTCTCAGGCTCTATTGGAGAAGGTGACTCTCTTAGGGCTGAGATCCTTGCAGCGTTGGAAGGAATTCAAAGAGCAAAGGAACTAAATATCAGCCGTTTGATCCTGGAAGGTGATTTGAAGGTGGTAGTAAGTTGGTTGAAGAAAGGGGACAGTGGATTGTGGAGTTACAACAATGAAAAGAAAAAATTCTTATGGCTGTGTAGGGACATTGAGATACAATACAGCTGGGTGAAGAGGACTGCCAACCCATTTGCGGATGGGTTGGCCATGCAAGGGGTGAATAGGGAGTCGATCTTTTGGGCTAATTTTTAATTCTCTTTCATTGTTTTCTATTAATGGGGAGCTAAGACATTTTATCTCCCCCTTTTGTATCTAAAGTTTCACAATTTTCATATTATAAATAAAGCTGCTGTTATTGATAAAAAAAAAAAATACAGGGGATATTATTATAACATAAGTTGGTGACAATATTGTAGATATGTGGAGTAACAATGCTATTGCCCGCATTTATAAAAAAAACAATGTTTTTGCCCACCTAACTTACTTGAGCCATCTCAATATTCATTTCAAACATGATGTTAAATATTACTTTTTGTTTGTGTAATATATTATTTGGTTGATCTATTACAACCATTTACATTTTCTCTGAGTTTAACTTTTGCTTTATCTCATTCTATCATGAAGCTCTGAATCTTAAGGTTTACGAGACAACTCCAAAACATATTCTTTTTTCTATAACCTTAGTTTTTTAGCTTTGTGTAATGATTTGGAACAAGATAATAATTTAAAAAGGTGTTCCTATTCATTTAATGTTTCCTCCATGTCTATAATTTATACAATATTTCCAACTTTTCCGACATGTTTCTTATATTTTGGTGACCAACATTTCCACTGACACTGATGTGTTAAACCTTGGCAACAATATCACTGTTGCCATTTCTGAACATACCCCCTGTTCCAACCATAATCTTCAGTTTCCATTCTCTTGTATATTTTTTGTATGGAACTTTTTTAATTGTATCATATTTTGATC